TCTCTCTCTCTCTCTCTCTCTCTCTCTCTCTCTCTCTCTCTCTCTCTCTCTCCTACTCCTATTCTCTAATTATTCTCCAATTATTACGACTATGTAATTGCAAAGACTCGGTAAGGAATACGTGTTCTTTCGATTGGATTTTCGGATAAAAATTGGAGGAATTACACGGGGATCATCGACAAAGAAACTCGAGAAAATGGCAAAAGGAGCCGACAAGCGTATCGATGATGGTGTGAATTCAACGTGGCATTCGAAACGATTACACGCGTACGAAATACAAAATGAGAGGGAACGGGACGGAGTGAAACAGTGGTAACGTGGAAGGGAACGGGGGTCGGAACGGGAGAAAGGAAAACGATTAGATAAGGCAGGCCGGCGAGATCAAAGGCGTGCACGTTAATCCACCACTCCTCGATAAGAGTGCTGGAGGCCTTCGAGACATCACGAATAAGCTTCGACCTTAGACTTTTCGATGGTATGTATAGCCAGATCCAGCATGGCTGGCACGAAATCTCGAAGATTACTCAGCGTCGCGCGAAAGTAGAAACCAAGTTGAAATAAAAAAGGAAAATAATAATAAAAGAAAAAGGACGAGCAATTCGAATTTTACCGTTTCACCAAACGAACAGTGTTAGACGGTAAGCGTGAATTCAGATCTAAGGTGTAAGCGTGGAGGCGTGCGTGCGCGTGTGTGTGTGTCGACGGGATTTGAAAATACACGTATCAATGTCTGTCCAAATATTAGAACAATATATTACGGCTCCGTCGAATTTCGAGTTTTTCGCTCGCTCAGATTGCAGCCCGATCCTTATCGCGTACTTCTGGCTTTTCACGCCGACGATAGTTCCACCTGGAATCAAACGGTCGTTGTTGCGAATATAAGGTGCGTTTTATGAATGCAGATGGATACGAAAATCGGTTACGATCCGTCGAGAGGTTTCACTTTTTCGAGAATCGAGAAGAACGAGCGTGCGATTTTTGGAAAGTTTATGGAACTATTGGAAGCGCGCGAGAAGCAGACAGGTTTTTCGAAACTCGCAAGGTATCCGAGCAACAGATTATTAACGGGAAGTCTATCTGAAGCGAAAGGTTTCGCTATTTTTCGATAAATTAATTTCCGAAGATTTATATGCCGTAATTTGGCAGTCAATGTTTATTTAATTCCGTAGCTGAAAAGCCCTGTTCACCGACATGTGGCAATCATGTTAAAAGGAATTGTCCAGTTCGAGCCATCTGAATTGAAAAGCCTCCTCTCCAAAGCCCTCCTTGAACTTCCTTGATTCACGTTAAATTTCCACGAAATTTCGCGATTCAACAATCAACGACACCGAGTTTCGTAAGGCAATAAGTCCGGGATTGTAAAAAAAAAAGTCACCACAATCACGTATTAGTTCGTTTTCGTCGTGCCGCGTATTGTTCGCTTTCGCAAATATTTGCCATGTTAAGTATAATCGCCGTTCAAACCCGATGCACGTAAACAAACATAAAACATCATTAAATCTTATCGACAGGCATTTTATCTTTCGAGATTGTCATCGAGTCGAAATATTCCAAACCCTACGGCGGCGTTATTTTAATTGCGACAGATCTTGCTACGCGCATAGAAACTTTAAGCTCAACGATCGTTTCGCGACCGTGTTTGCGCGCGAAATTCGTATCTGGATACAAATTTCAAATAGCGGATGAGGAAGGCGAAGAAGGTATTGCTAAACTAAGATTCCGTAAGATTTCAATTTACGCAACAAAAATAGTTGAGAATTTTCGACCTCTGGCATAACTAGTTCCTTTGATTTCTAACAGGTTCGAACCCAGCTTTTTTAGCGTGTCTGTAGACGAGGGGAAAAAGTTTCGAGTTCGAGACGAACTGGCGAAAAGTGTTCTCGGCAATTCGAAGGTGTGGACTCCGTCTTTTTGATTTTTAGCCGCGCCAGTCGTGCCACTCCAACTTTTCGATCCAAAAAAGTCTATCGGAATCCCCGAGGAGAGCGTTGTTTGAAGGGGGAGAACTGAGAGCTGTGTGAGTCGGCAAGGATTACCGTCGGCCTTTTTCATCTCTCCGATACCGGAACTCGCACCTACGATTATCCCGTCACCTTGTCAACACTCGATCTCCCATGATACTCTGAATAACGTAATTGTTACAGCAGGTCAGTCAACATATTAGCCTAGTGGTGCTTGAGCTATTCGAGTTGAACAATCTAAATAAAATCCAATAAACTTTATTTATATTTTACCAACATAACACTATAGATAATGCAAGTGCAAACACGAGTTAACTCATGACCGGTCAACAATCTGTTAAAATTGATCAAGTGGAACAATTTCGCTTAGTAGATCGCTTAGGAGATCACTCGGTGAACGTGAACCCCGAAGAACCGTGTTCTGCAACCCTCGACCACTTCTTCCGTCGCGGAGGTTCCCCGTCGGCGTCGCGACGCGAATCGATGATAAAATTGAACGCTCGCGAAGCTTTCCGCAAATTGGTACCCGTCTTCCGTCTTTAATCAACCGAAACGGGCCATTCTCGTTCCTCGACACAATTTCGTCGTTCCGCACGACCATTTCTCTCGGGTACACATCTACATGTCCGCGGCAGCAAGAGACGACGAATATTTTGCGTACAAGCCAACGAGAGGAGAGAGAAGAACCAGAGACAAACCAAGGGAGCAAAGAAACAGGACTCCTGGGGCTCGTTGCCACCCCATTACAGCGTTTGCTCTTCCATTTCGCCACGCGAAATGGTGAAAGCGCGTGCCTCGCTTTTCCTGCGAGTGTGCTACGCCCTCGAGTCTCCTCCACCCCCTAAACCGACAACCCCACAGATTTCGCATCGCTCTAACCGACGATTCCGCGCCCGCACGGGTACCATTCGTCAGTGGCATCACAATTACCTCTATTGTGCCGCGAAACATTTGTATATTGCATATCAAGTGTCCTACGCGCGTCCGAAGGTATCTCGTTTGCCGACGAAGCGAGCAAGTGCATCTAATTTATGCGCAGAGTTTTTCAAGAGGACGTAAGTGAATCGATTGTTTATCGATATCCGAACTGTTATTCAATGTAGTCAAACTTCATTAATAGACATAGAGGGCACGAATGTTTATGGGATTGGCTGCATGCACGCAATTTATTTGGCAATCGAATTGAAATAAAATATCAGCGATAAGGAACGATTTTCCACTTTTCCACGCGATGCACACCGGTTAAAGTCGGCGATCGTTGGTAACGTGTGCTCGTTCACCTGCGAACCAGAGATTTCAGCAAACGACCACACAACAAATGGCAGAAAACCGTCCGTTATCGTGACGCGGTGCAGTCCAATGCGGAAACGCACTATTTATCTTGGTCACCAACACTAACGAGGTTCAGATATCAGAGTGAGATTACCGTTTGCTGAAGTTACAATGAAACTTATCTGAAGAGAGGACTAATCTATTTAACTCAAACACGGCTATGGTCACCAAATTGGCTATAATATAAAAATTCTATATGATTGTTTCGCGACTTATTCAATTTAGAATCACGTGAAATATTTTCACATGCAATTCGAGTGTCTTTGATACCAATCATTTGATGGATCGCTGTAGAAATAGACAAAAATAAATTTCGATTGGTTCAGTGTTGAACTTCATATTCCCCATTTCACAAAATAACGATAGCCGTTGAATTTAATACCATAGACTTTATCATCGACTTTCGCATCGTGGCGAACGGACATATTATCTTTCATTCAAAATTTTTATCTAGATAAGATTCGTGGCCATCTCGAACGCAGAAGAGAACAGGTCGGAGCAGGCTTTTATTGGACAGCTTAAAAGGAACGGTTATATGGCGACAGCCTGGGGACAATGTCCGAGTATGCATACCCTAGACGGATCGAGGGTATAGAAACAACGTTTACCCTCGAATCGAGCGTCTTGGCATTTCTTCGACACTTCGGACTCTCTCTGTTGGGCATCCTGTCCCCGATCTGCCCTTCGCCTTATTATTATATTGCCCAGCGACAGCCACTTAATTGTGGGGCCTCGTGTTGTGGGCAAAACCGACGCGAATAATGTAAAAGGGTCTGGGTACGATGACTGACCCGTGTCCAACAGAACGAAACCGCTCGTGAGCCGATCGTTGCGAACGGAGCCGTCTTTCCCTCGACAAACCCAGACACACGAACGATTCGAGGAAACACTGTCCACGTCGAATCCCCGCGGCCGTCTAAGTTTAATTATCCCTTATTGTTGTCAAAACAAACCGTTCGATTAGATTTACGACATAATTGTAGCTCTCGATGAACCAACTCCTCTCGCTGACATTGCAAGTCGATGTGGAGCAACCCTCTGGAGCAAGGGTTGGCCATGAACACAGACGATGTTCCTAGCGACAGGCTGGTCGATCAAACAAAAATTTGCGTTTCAAGTTTATGTGGAAATGTCGCGATGAACGAATTACTCCGAGAAGAACGAGGAATAAGAAGCGTGAAGCATTCGTTAGCGGATTGTATAATAAATTGCTGGATAAAATAGTTGTTGCCTTTTTTTGGATAAATGAGTTTTACAACCATTCTAATGGTGTATATATTACTCAGAAATAAATTACGAATGAATTTTAAAGGAATTATGAATGAATTTTATAGAAACTATAATTTCGGTTATGGATTCGCTCACGCCAAGGGAGTAGAAGATTTTCCGTGTCGATGAGGATCGTCCAAAATGATTTTTATCTCGATCGCGACCACCTCCCTCGCGGAGCAAAGGCTACCAAAATGGCGGCTGCAATAAAACCTTGGAGAAATCGCGTGCCGCCATTACGAGTCGAGCGAGCGTCGTTCGAAGGAGCACCAACAAATAGCAACGAGAAAAAAGTCGCACGCCATCGCGTACACGCTCACACCGATGGAAATACGCGAATAACCGCGGCTCTCGGCACGAAATTGTAATACGAAGACTGAATCATGCGAGGTCGTCGTTATACGAGGCAGCGGCTGCCTGCAATATAACCATAAAATGCAGATAATAGCCGCTAGAAGGTATCGGAGGGTCGCACGGTCGTGAAATGGTACAAGAAAGAGCAGCAACGGGGTGTAACTGAGCAGCAGGAAGGAACAGGGTGAGAGAAGTTTGAGTACTCGTCGCATCGATGCCTCGACGATCATTCCACGATACAGATCGTTCCTTGCAATTAGTTAAAAACGAGATCGTGTGATAGTTAAACAAATTCAATTTCTATTAATTTCGACGATTACTCTATGCAAGCAAATGAAATATTGTCCAGTCCTGTGTTTCAAGAAAATGGAAATCGAATAAAAAGCGCCGTACCAATCCGAACATAAAATATCAGCGATCATTCCTTGCATAAATTCAAATTCTATGGAACGATACATGCCAAATTTAAATGCGAATGGCGATTAAACGATACTCGAGTATAATTTGCATGCTACAACGATAACTGACGAACAATCGACGCATGCAGACCACGGTACAATCCAAGATACCAAACACACTCATCACGATTATTAATATAACGTACGAATGACAATAATCGAACGTAATTGTTATCCTACCAAGGGCGTCAAGGGCGCAGAGCTCGTGAATCGCTGAAACTGCACTTGCGTTGCAGTTTGCAGTTACGTTGCACACTGCAACAGTAGAAAAAGAAGCTGCTTAATCAGAAATTGCGTTGGGACTGTATTAATTCCATAAGATTCGTCCAATTCCTTTTATTTTTTTTTCTTTACCAAAGGTGACGCTACATTTACAGGTCGGCTACATTTACAGGTCGGCTACAGTTCCTTCGAGAATTACAAGTTGCGTCACAGTTTTCCAAGCCATAAATCTTTCGTAATGTGCGAATAGAAATTCCGGGCCCGAACGATAAACTGTACTCAAGGAATTAGGACACCACGGGCAAGTTTACTAGAATAATCAAAATCCACGCAAGTCAAGAAACGCGTATATATTATACAAATATTTATGTAGCGGTTAAAGTCTGTGAATCTACCACTGCCATTTTACAGGATGAACATTATCGTAATTAGTGTTGCTTTATTAAGACTATTATCGTTAATAGCTCGAGTTTATTTCAATACAGAAACTCATAGAAACAAGTTTTGTTTTTAAACGAACACAGACTGCTTAATAAAAGTACACCCGTTGTACGACGATCGTAAGAATAAAGAAAGGTTTCACTTGCTTTTCTGGTTACTCGATTTCTTTCTTAAGATTCGAGCGTACCGAGTACACAGTTTGGTTGGACCGGTTGAAAATTCGAGACGACACCAAGAGGACGCGGAGATTATCTCACAAATATTTGAGAGCAATTAGATGTTTGCTCGTCTGTTACCGTGTTTACATTGTTCGCCGTATCTAGACCGCAGAGACGTGTTTATAGCCAACCACCATGTAATACGCCAAGACCTCCGCGGTTGTTCCTTAAAAAATGTTTTTCATCTACGATATTTTTCACCCAATCGAGCCACGGATAACGTCTCCTGGATTAATCCACGCGAATCTATTTTTGGTACACGTTTATAGAGTTTCTGTGGTCTTTGTACTTTGATTGAAAATTATGGTGCCTTACAGAGGAGTTAATTTATGGTTGTATATATCATGAATTGGACATTGACTTTTCAAATTGGTTTTTCTGTTCGTAATGGAAAATGTGCTGATTCATGTAAATCTTTCCGCGAGATGTGCTTTAGACGTTAGTATTGTTTGAATCTTTCTTATCTGAACATTTGATCGCTTATTCCGTACCTTCCTTGCCATTTTTATTGAGCAATTTCTATCAATAGAAGCTGATTTCTGAATAGAAACACGTTCAATTATTTTATAAGCTGTTGCATGCTAACACAGGTTTGAATGCATAGAAAAATTCGTGGACATTTACAAATTAAACGCGAGCGTAGCACGAAGCGTATCGTCGTTCGCGGCGGACATTTTGGAGCACGGACGAATAACGTACATTTTCATTTACCGAATTTATCAAGCTATTATGATAACACAGTGGTAGTCTATCGATTCAATTCAATTTTGCACGTAGAATAGCTTCCATCCCGGATCCATGCTTACAGCACACCTTGTATAATGTGTACTTCTCGAGATAGCTTCATTAGAAGGGTAGACACGCTCTTCGCGTGGTAAATACAGTATGTTGGTATACACACAGCCGAACGTCCTAATGTTCCACGATTCCCGTACCAAGCTTCGAAATTTAATTCGGTAAGAGTTCAAAGCCAAGTTAACCACAGTTAGCCAAGAATATTTCGATCGTTTATCGTCACCATGTCCACGAACGAGAGTACATCCATTCGTCAACTAATAAATGAAAGAAAATATTAATATTGTCGTATTAATTAATGAAATTAAATTAAGTGCGCCTATTCGCGAGGGTATTTTTTGTCTTCCATGTTAGTACGCGTCATAAATGCATAAAATCCGCAGTCCGCTTATCGGTATTATTTAGCAGGAAAAGTTTTAATTCGTCTCATCCATCACGCGTGTCAATTAGATCAATTTAATACGGGCAATTAGAACTCTGTGTCGGCGAGTTCAACTGGCCGAAGCGAGACCGCCGTCCGCGAATTAAACGTCAAATTGATCGTTTCTGACATTGTTTCGGCTATCGTTTATTGGATTTCTTTTATGGGCGCAATTAACGCGCCAGTGGCGTGAGCGTTTGCGCTCGACGCAGTCAAAATGGCATTGCGATTTTGACCAATTACTCCGAATCGCGTTATCTGTGGATCTCCATATTGGCTAACGTCGAACAAACAAACTTTACGTTTCTCCAACTCGATGTTAAGAACTCGATGTTCGAAAGAGTCATTGAATTTGATGCTTGTAGTACGTTCTATGATACACAATGAAGATTACGTTACAAGTTTAAGGACCCTAATGGCGTTTTTACTTTGCTGGGCGCGTAGACTTCGAGCAGCAAGGGTGAAAAAGGATCAGAGGCCCACAGGTAACATCACGGTTCTTTCGGAACAATAAATGGCGACTGGTTTCTGGGATATACGTAGTTATTGGACGTTTTTCGTCTTCAAAAGGACAAGATTAATATATAAGATAGAAAATGAACGTGCCACAGATATCGGTCGTCAGAATGTCTTGTCTGGGAAAACCTCTAATTTAAACTTTGCCGGGCCCCACAGGCGCTCTTGAGACCGCAAACGGTTCGTGTCGCGGAAGTTTACTTATTATTGGGAGCTTAATTCAATGATAAAACGGTTTTAAACGCGCCAAAGAAAGTGAGATCTTAGATTTTACTTCTTGGATAGAAACAACCCCTGTGAAGACAGCTTTGACAATTTAACGCGTATTCTTTATTCTTATGGAAACATCTACGTAGCTATTTATTGATCGATCTTAGCTCGAGAGTTTAGAAATTGAACGGTGCCGGAAGTTGAAAAGACGGAGAATGTATAATCGATCTTCTCCCTTTGGAAGACAAGTCTTAACAAAAGAAGCCAAAGACTTCTGATGCAAATCAATTATTCTAACTTCTAAGAAAAAAATATTAACACGAACGCGATTCTCTTTAAGTCTCAATCCCTCCAAAGATTCTCAATCAAGAGCTCAAAATGATTCACATCCTCCTCGAAGGCAACCTTCCTTTAACAAATGGCGACATTCGACAAAGCTTCCAAGCCTCACTTTTTCTCCAGAAACAAACCATTCAACAAAACTCTCAACTCTAACATGTTCTCGAAAAAGTAACCATTCCACTAACCTGGATTCGGTTGGCTCTGGTACGAGGTCTTCTTCATCCACTCGTAGGGGCTCCTGATCTGCGTGGGCCTCATGGGCGTTGTGTTGTTGTTGTTAGCGGTGGTGCTGTTATTATTATTATTAACAGTGATGCTGTTGTTGTTATTCGCAGGCGGAGTGGACGGTGTGCCAGGGTTGCTGATCTCGCTTCCGCTGACTGTGATGGGAGGGCTCGGTTCGCCAGCTCCTACCGCGGGATTCGTCTCGTCGCCGCTCCAGTCCGTTACGCTGGTCAACTGGGCTTGCTGGTGTTGCTGGTAGGTCTGGTGGTGCTGATAGTGGAGATGCGAGTAGTGGTGGGCGTGCCAACCTGGCAGAACGTCTGTGTGGTCCAGATACTGTTGGGCTCCTGGTGGCTGGTGATGGCCGTGGGTGTATCCGTGCGGACATCCGTACCAGTATTGTTGGCCACCGTCGGTGGTCGCCGAGGCGGCGTGTTGCTGCGCCTGTTGCGCTTGAGCGTGTTGCTGGACCTGCTGGGCGAGCTGCTGTTGACCGGTCGTGGACTGCTGCTGCTGTCTGTACATCGCCAGAGGATTGTAGTAGGACACCATGCCAATGCCTATATCTGTCATGTTGACGGTGGTCGCCGTGCACCCGTCACGGCCGCAGATCACTGTCGACGCGATGATAGGGGTGGACGTAGTTGTAGCCGCTGAAAGACGGGGTTTCCAATCACTGGTTCATACATAGACACGCGCAGGGACGAGTCCAACTCGGACGATCCTGGACACGTCTAAATCGGCCGACTACAGACACACGAGTGATCCAGTGTGAAATCGCGATCGGTCCCTTCGTACACCACGGGTACACAACCGAAACTACCGTATTTATAGTTTGCGATTAGAGCGTTCTAGAAGCTCCAACATCTAACGACTACATTCGATGCTTGTTCAAATGTATCTACCTCATGCTCCCGAACTCTCTGGAATCTCTCGACTGGAGGATTCTGAACACAGACACTCGTGGGATGGTTCCACGTCGATCGACGCCGGTTGCTCGAATGGGAGCTACTGTTGCTCGAGCTCGTCCTTCGGTCTCTAAACTGTCACATTGGCGGGGCACCAAAACAAAAGAACGCTTCCGGTTCACGCGACACTGTGGCGATGTTCGATCGAGGAGCGCGCGATGGGAACGATTCTCGTCCCTTTCGACCCGTTCGCGGAAAGATACTGCCGGCTCGACGATAACGGCCAGGTGACGCGACACGAATATTCGCGATGTTGTACCGACGACTGCTTGTTCGTCTGTGATTAGGAAGGGTGCGACCGCTCGCCAACGTTGAATCCGCCTACGGCGCGGCTATTCCCCTACTACCCTCGGCGAACGACCAATCAGGAGATGTCTGACGGTTCGTCAGCTGTAATGGCGTCCATCCAGTGACGGAGCCGCCAGAGATATCGTTGGTTGATAAAAAGAACGCGGAGAGGCGGCTCTCACGCCCCCGTAAACGCGATTCTTCGTGTAAAAGGCCGCGAAATGGACAACATTTTTCGCGCTTGTCGCGTTTTACGCCTGTTATGGAAATATATCTTCGCTGCGTCTTTGAATGTTGCGTAGAAAGGGGTGGGGGGAATGGATAGAGTCGTGGTAACAAGCACGTAAGAAATTGGAGTCGCGTTTAATTACGGTTGGAAGATAGAAAAACTTGTTTGTTTTCAATGAATATTGTCGAGGTGACGTCATTCTGAAGGATCTCCATTGTTTATCGTTGGTTTTGTTGGGTTCTTGAGCGACCTTCTCATCCTCCAAGTTCTCACGTTTTGTTGTTATCCTCTTGGTAATAATAACAAGTCTCGTTAGGTGGAAAATTGAAGGGTTGGGTTGTCTGCGACGACATCTATGGGAAACAGAGCAACGTAAAATTTTGAGATTCTACGAGTATCTTCTAGAAGGAAACGCAAGGTCTCCGGAAGACAAATTTTTCAATCGACTAATGTTTCGAGAAGAAATTGGATCGTGCAATTGCAATATATTTTTCTGCGCTTCGAAATAAACGAGAAACTCGATTCGTAATTACGAGTAGGATAGCAGGATAGACGATTTTATATTTCATTTTTCGTCGCTCTGATGTTGCAATGTGTTTTCTTGATCGACGATTCCCTTTTTCCATTAATATTTCTTTTATTGTTATCCTTATTACGTGTGGTTTAAAAAATGATGTGTTTTTACAGTAACCTAACAGACAATGACCTAATATATAGACTAATAATACGTAGAATAACAATATTATTACCTTCTCTTTGCCGTATTGAGTTCTCTTCCAACGTGACCTTCCAACTCTTTAATAATAAATAAATTCGGAACGATGTAACTATCGTTATACAATTAAGAGTAACAAAGTACATCGTATCTGTATGTGTACAGCTTCGTCGCGTTCGTTGCACTCGCACGAAATCATCCATAATTAACGATGTATAACAATTATGAACTGCAACATCAACAGTTCATAAATCACCCTCGTCGTGGAAATGATTTAACGCCAAAAACTCGAGGCTTCCTCCGGTATGATTAAGATCGATCGTCATCGTTTATTGCGTTTACATACTTAAGTGGAAATGAGAATTAAACATTTGCCCGCAGTGATTGCATCTAATCACGAATAACACACCGAACTATTTTAGTGCTAAGCAATAATCGAGATATCCCTTCCTTATCAGCATTTCTTTCGAGTGTTTTATAACGTGTGTACGTTTTTCGAGGTTGTAATTAAAATTGTCAGAAGCGTCCGATATAAATCCAACTGACGCGTACGAGCGTGTTTACCTTTTGTGTTACTTTGTATACAGCTATGTATAATTGAACATTTGGAATCAAAGCAAAGGAGGAAGTTCAATGTTAAGTTCGATCAAAGTGAATAGTGAATTAAGTGAATCTTTATCTGCTAAATTCGTTCAAATTTTGAGACTAAAACTTTGGGTGAAAAAGTTTACGAGCAAATCTTATAATCTGTTTTTTTTTTTTATTTAAACCTCCTATAATCTATCGTTTATAATTTGAGTGAATCGTGGATGCACAAATTCCTTATTCGCGATCAAAGTTTCAGCGCGAGCGTAGCTTATCATAATTGCACAAGTAATCAAAATGGCCTCCGTTGCTAAGCACTCAGTCATCCACACGTCCCATCAACGATCGTTTTGCGCGTTTAAAAATATTCGCGTTGCATACATATCGAACACGTATTCGTAATTCTCCACCGTAATTCAATAACTTTGTAATATGCATTCAAAACGATTCGATGCAACAAATATTCCACAGAATTGAAATCATGTGATCGAGGAGCCCGTGCAATTGATCTACCGCGACCTACCTTGAAATTTCTTATCTGATACAACGCGTACTTTTCTACGTAAACATGCGAGTTGAAATTTAAATTGACTAAGTCTCCGATAGAAGTTTGTACAATTTTCCTATCAGGTGCGGAATAGATCTCATAAATTTCCTGACGCTACTTCAGTAAACGTTCCGTATGTGCTCGTGTTATCGATAACATCGCCGATTATCAATCGTTAATCGAATGACGTCATTTCTCGAACGGACGAACCCCAAGATGCTTTAGTATGTCTGCTGAACAAAGCCTGTGGGATTTCTCGTTCGTAAAAATGAATAATCCGTAGCGATCGTGGACGACGAAATGTTCGTAAATCTCGAAAGGATGAGGCGCTCCTTAAACGCGAGGAATAATCGCAGTATCAGATGAAAGGCGTGATTCGTCGAGTGTCAATAAGTTTTCTAGCAAATCACGCCGACGGTGACACCGTTCCTCGCAAGGTCGATTATATGGGTAGAAGCCGCAGGTAATCTCGCAGCATAATGGCAGCTGCCTCGGGGCCCACCGACGGCGACGAATGTCACAATATTGACTCGATATACAGCCAGCACTCGTGGTCCCTTTCTTTCGCCACTTGGAAACGCTCCGCCTACGGTTAGGGTTACATGCTTTCCCTCGTTTCCTTCCCTCTCGCGGACTTTCCAGTCTTGGCCTCTTTATCGACCCTTCCGTCGCCCCATTTCCTTTCTACGGAGCCGTGCCCCAAAATACGCACGAAGGGGTGGTATCTCCCCCCCCCCATTTTTATTTTCCTTCATAAAATCTGGTTCACGGTACGAAAGTCGGTAGACCTTTCCTCTGTTGACCGTTTCACTGGTTCTCATTTGTTGCGATTAACTGGAAAGCTCCGGAAAATCGGAAAATAAAAAGTATAGCTTGACTATATGATAGCAGCTTAAGAAATAAATATAATTTTCCCATAAAAATTGAATTCTCGACTATCATCGTTCGTGATCTCTGAACATAGAAGACGTCATAGGCGTCGATGGCTGATGAATTGCGCAGTTTGTCAAGGGTGTCATCGCGACGCTTCTTGCAAGGAACCCTGGAGTTTCTCCAAGTCCCTCGGTACTTGGGTCCACAGTGGCTGCGGTAAACGCCGTAATTACTCGGTTGGTTTACGACTTTCAAGATGCGAAAACGCTGCGGTGTCACGACAATGACAGATCGTTGAGAAGAAGATGGCTCAATAGTCGGGGACAACCCTCGTCTCTTCTTCGAGGATGATGGCGCTGATCAGCCATATACGACGGGCCTTTTCGCCAACGAACTGAGTTAATTCTAAAGTGCTGAGGTGTTGATAAAAATAAATCTTATTGCAATCTCTGAATTTGAACGAACGAGGATTGCATAGTTTCCAATTGTCTCGAATGGAGTAGGGTAGATATTTTTGAATGATAAGTGTCAGGAGTATTATCAACGCTAGTAGATATTAAATACCAAGTACTAAAAGTTATTCATGCTGCACATAGTGGGACTATAAATGATTTCACGAGCTACTCGGAAGCAATCTGATTTTAATTTCGTTCTTACCTTTGACAAAATAATTCTACAGCCTATTTACCATTTTCCTCGGTCTTTACAACAGTCGCAATAAGGCAATTCCATGGTTTTCAATGGGGGAAGTAGGAGGAATCTTTCGTAAAAATGGAAGAACCGAATTTCAATGACTTTAACAACGGCTCGCAGGGAGAGGTACCCGGGGGTTGCCCTAAAACGTTACCGTTTTAATTAAAAACGGGACGGTCGGGGAAACGGGGCAGTTATTTAGGACAATTCCGCCAGTTCACCTTTTGTCTCTATTGTTCGTCGAGGAGCCCGAGACCCGATGATTGCTCTACATTGTAGTTACCTCTTTAAAAATATCCTACCTAACTGTAATAAAATTGCCCGTAATAGAACATTCATAAAGACCTGCGAAGGGACTGACTCGGCACCTCTTCCGACACCCTCGATAACCATCATGGTTGTTCGTTGTCGTTCGATATCCTGGTACACCAAAATCCCCCGTCCTCGTGTTTTCCGATCATTTCGACGCCACTTCCGCGTTTCGCTATTCTTTTGTCTCCTGTCGACTGTTTCCTTTTTTCCTTCGACGTCGCAACTGCGAGATTGAATTTATCATTCTTTCCATTTACATGAAATAATATACTTTGAATATAAAGTATATTCTCTTTCTCTGCGAGCAAATGCGAGCTACGAAACATTGGGATGATTAAGGGAAAATTCTTTTTGTTTGTAGCAACTCGAAAGGCAGGTTTAGTCAGAACGTCTGGGTTGATGGGTCGCATAGGTTTGCCTGGATTTCGATCGATGTTTTTGTGCCTTTTAAATTTTGGGTTCTCGGGGGGTCGGAGTTGTTTGAGGGTACGACCATAATGGCCCCCGGGTAACAACGATATAAATACTAAGCCCGTTACGTCGGAAGAACAGAAAACTCTCTAACTTAATCCTTAGTCCCGTTCCAACTTTTAAGAATTTTTTTTTCTACGCCGTCGTGGGTCCTGGACACTTGGTTTCCTTTCCAGCACTCGACGTACTTCGAATGTGTGTCGAGGCACCTAAACGATGGAAGCAATTTACTGTTTCACTGTTCTGTTATGGATACTGTGCACTCACACCACTCGGTTGTTTCGCATTTAACTGTGCTTCGATCGGAAAACTCCATTTTATCAGAGATAAATATAAAATTTTGATAAAATGTCTGGAACCTTCGATTAGTATTAAAGTACGTAACAATTGGAGCATCAGAAAAGCCTGTAGTACAAACCGTGACCATGGAATAATAAATAAAATTGGCCCAGTATTTTCACTGATCTTTAGAAGTAGATCAAGAATCGCGAGAAAGATTTATAATAGCTTCGAAAACCATAACGATATTAAGAAAGAAAATGTGAAAGGCATA